GGGAGAGAGAGAGAGAGAACCATCTATGTGAGAGGGAAAGAGACATCAATATGAGAGAGAGAGAGAGAGAGAGAGAGAGAGAGAGAGAGAAACACTGATGTGAGAGAGCAATCGATTGGTTGCCTCTTGTACATGTCCCAACCAGGGATTGAACGCACAGCCTTTTGGTGTACAGAATGATGCTCCAGTTAGCTGAGCCACCCGGCCAGGAAAAATGTAGTTTCTTATAAGCCTAGCTCTTAAATCAGGGAGAAGAAATGGCAATGGCATACTGAAGATGGTTTCACTTGTATTAACCTTTATTTTTATTTTTTAAAAAGTTTATCTGGTTGCTGATTGTATGGCCACACTTTACATTTGTCCTGGTGAATCATCTCTGTAGACTTGCCCTTCTCACACTGGACCTGTTGGTTTAATTTTTAATTTCTGACAGGTAAGGCCAGTTTAAATAATGATGCTGAAGAAATTATCTGATTGGCTCCATGAGTCATCCAAAAGTAGATCATTTGTTCCTTCCTTCAGTTGCAGTTTAAATTGTATAATGACAACTTCTTAATTTCTCTATTGGGTAAATTACTTTGTAATGAATGAATGAAAGAATTTTAAGGAGATGAAATAAGTTGTTTTTTATTTTATTTCAGGAATACATTTGAACAATAATCTGAACCACTTAACATTTGGCCTGGACCATCCTAGACTGCCTTCTGCACACACAGCAGCAAAGCAGGGGAAAGTGGAGCTGCCTGCGACGAGAGCAGGGAGCGACAAGATTGTCCTGCTCGTGTGCAACCGTGCCTGCACGGGGCAACAGGGAAAGAGGTGCAACCAGCTTCTTGTCTAGCAACTGCGGAGGCTTGAAAAGTCTAATGTTTTCAGAAGAGGGATTAAAACATCCTTACTTTTAGTAGTTAATTTTCCATTCTGATATTTAGAAAGAATATGTGTATAAGTTGACCTGATTTGAGGCATTGGTGGGAGAAGATAAAATTAAGATGATAGAATCTGAGTGAGAAAGGCTCTTCAAGCTCATGTCATTTTTAAAGGCTCCTGTCATGTGTCCATTTCCAGCTGAAGCTCCTCCAGCGGCTCCAGACCTATACATCTACACCTAGCCACTTTCTTAACAGCTTTTTTAAAAAAAATTCTTAACAAACATACTTGGATGGTATGTACACCACAATCTTAGGTTCCAGACTGACTCCGTTCTCTCTCCCTGCACACCTGGCCCTCCAGTGTTTCTGTCTCTGCAGTTGTTCCACTATTCATTCAGCCACATAAGCCAGAAAGCTGGGAGTTGGAATCTCTCAGGTCTTTTTCCCTCTGTAAGAACCTGCAGGAGTTTCAGACTGTCTTTTAAAGTAGCCTTATCACAGTAGTGATGTCACCTGAGTCATAACAAGCAGGATGTGAACCTGTTTAGGGAGGAAGGGACTTGGTGTTTTTAATATTTGTCAGAGTAGCGTTTATATTAGCCTTTTAAAATGCTGCTTTGAAATAGGTTCCTTTTTAAAAGATGGTAAGTAGCGTAAATGTAAAATGTGTTGATTTGTATATTTATGATGCTCATTAACAAGCACTGCAGTGTTCACAGTGTGTTGGGCACTGTTCTAAACACTGGGCTACAGCGGCAGACACACAGGATCTGCTTCCTATGGAGCTAGCACCCTCATTAGGAGTGGCTATGAATGAGTAGCACATTTCCCTTCAGTTCTTTCCACTTGAAGATTTTAAAACTGGCTGGGATGATAGTGTGCTGGGGTTAGGGGCACTGCAGACAGCGTTAGAGAGGGAGGTCAGGAGGTCAGGGAGGGCTTTCTCCAGGAGGTGGCACCTGAGCCTAGTGAGGGAAGTGGTGAGCTGTGTGAGCCTCTGGGGAACAGGCTCTCATGAAGAGGGGACTTTGAGTACAAATACACTGAGCCTAGAAGGAGCGTGGAATATTTAAGGGACAAAAGGGAAGGGATGCTAGTCTCTTAGAAGACATTGTCATGAAAAATGTGGCCAGATGGTTTACATGTGCTTGTAACTTCACATCACCGTTGTTTTAGGTGAACAGTGAACAGTGAACAGCTAGGTTCACTGTTGAGTGCCTCTGTGAGTGAAGTTTTCTTTAGGTGCTGGCTTTCTTGGTGATGTCAGCATCTCTGCTTTGGCCTGAGTCAGGGTTTATCTGGGTCCTCACTCATTCACTCAGCATCTGCCATTTTCTAGGCATTGCGGTTGGGCTAGTGAGATAACTAAGTCACAGTTCTTTCCACCAGATAACCTCACAGTGCGTTGGAGGCAGAGGAACAGTCAGGCAAGGCAGTGTTAGTGCTGTGGTGCAGAGAGCACGGAGCACACTGGCAGGGTGCTTCCTGTAGCAGGATCTCTCTCCTGGGTCTGGACATGGGAGAGTAGGACCTGGCCCAGAAGCCCGGCAATGCTTTCCAGGCTGAAGGAACTGGCTGAACAAAGACCTGGGTGTGTGAGTTGGACACATTCAGGGCACACAACAAGTAGGTCTGAATAGCTGGAGCTTGGGGCGAGGGAGGCCAGGCCAGTGGTTCTTCACCTTGGCTGCAGCCTTGTTTAAAGCTCCCTGGGTGATGTCAGTCTGCAGCCTCAGCTGAGAACCATGGCGCTGCCTTTGATTCTCCAACACCTGACAGCCCAGCACTGGCAGGGGCCACATGGCTTCTCCCTGGGGCTAGGCCCTGACTTTCAGAGTCACTTGCTTGCCAGTGCCTCCCTTGTTGTCAGACTATCAGGGCCTGGCTGCCTGCCTGCTGGACCTTCCAGTCTTGTCTGGTCCTCTGGCAATAACCCCATGCTGTCCACTCCCACCGTCTTTCCTCCTCATGTCCATTGATCCTGTCCTCTTGCTACCTAATATCCTAGCATTCATGCTCCCCCAGAAGCCATTTTGGTGCATGAGCTATTACATTTCTTTTAGAAATCTCAGCTTCTCTTCTGACTTTTTCATCCACTTACGAGAGTTACTATTAAATTTCCTGTTTGTTTTATTTTGAGAACAATCCCAAAACCAATTATATAGCGATTCCATTTAAGAAGGTCATGAGTAAGGAATTGCTTAACTCAAGGTGATTGAAATGTTGTATGTTAGGTTTGGACTGCCCTTTGTGCTGCACTTGGAGAAGACAATAGCCTGGGACCTGCTGCAGAAGGAAATCTTGGAGAAGATGAAATACTTCCTGAGGCCCACAGTTTGCATTCAGGTGTGTGTGCTCTGGTACTCTGGCCCAGCATGCATGCGTACCAGTGAAGAAACAGCGTTTCAGGGAAGTAGGAGTGCAGGCCTCTGCCTTAGGGAACACACACCGAGCTGGAGTGTTGGGAAGCCCTGGTGCAGAGCTGTTCAGTAGAACTGGCTATGGCCAGATTTCCGAGACTGAGGGCTTAGCCTCATTCTATGTAGTGATCTGGGTACTGCAAGGTTTCCCTTTCTAAGATTTGTCTAATAATGTTTAGCACATGATTGCCTTGGAGAGACTTTGTGGAACATTTCTCTGTATATTTTCAAAAGTAGGATTTCGGTGTTAAGGTAGCCACTGGAAATTTACGTTGTTAACGTTCCACTAAAGCCACATATTTCCTGTCTTGTATTACACATATTTGATGTGTAAATTGCATTTGGTAAATCATATTTAAAGTGTATTAGAGCGACTTGACAACCTAACAACATTATGGAGGAGCATTTTGCAAAAGTTTGCTTCCCCTCTAACCTGGTTTGGAAACAGCACTGTGAAGCAGATGCCCTTGCGGAGAAATCCAGCCTAATTCTCCTTCACCGTGTGATGCAGGTGTGTCCGTTCAGTCTGCGTGTGGTCAGTGTGGTGGGAATTACATACTTGCTGCCCCAGGAAGAGCAGCCGCTGTGCCACCCAACAGTAGAAAGGTAAAAACATCACCTTCTAGACCTTCACGTGTGCTCATGTGTGATTTCTAGTGATGGCTGGCATGGTTTCCACACAGTGTGGCACGTTCTTTAGGCTCATTTAGAAATTAAGTACTTACTTTACTTTTGATTCATATTAGGATATGACATGTTTTAGGACCCTTTTTGAAATCAGAAAAGCCTGGAGTACTCATGTTAAGAAGGCAAATTACCATATATCCAGGACTGCAGATACGTGACACTTTCATATTCAACAAGATTGATGTTTCCCAAAGTAGAATTCTAGTCATACCACTTCTCTCCTTGAAATCCTTGCATGGTAGCCTGTATTTTAAAAGACAAAGTGCAGCCCGGCTGGGCATGGCTCAACCTTTGAACGTCGACCTAGGATCCAGGCGATCAGGGTTCGATTCCCGGTCAGGGCACATGCCCGGGTTGTGGGCTCGATCAATGACTCTCTCATCATTGATGTTTCTATCTCTCTCTCTCTCCCTCTCCTTTCCTCTCTCTGAAATCAATATAGATATATTAAAAAAAAAAAAAAAGACAAAGTGCAGGTTCCACAGTACATGACACCTTTCCATTTGAACCCTGACTACATCCCTCCTCCTGTCAGGCCTTGCTTGCTCTTTTCCCACCATCCTAAACCTTCAGCAGTGGCGGAGTACTGAGTGTTGGATACACAGTAGTTTCATGTGTTGACAATATCTTTCCTCTGAGCCTTTTCTCACACTGTCCATCCTTTCCCCCTGTTCAAATTATTCACTGCACTGTGTTTCCCCTGTGCTTTCTACACACGTCTAATATTACAATACTTCACTGTATTGAAATAAGAGATCTATGCATATATGTGCACTGTTCATACATGATACATAAATATAAAAACTCACATTACTGTTTTTTTTGTTGTTGTTAATCCTCACCTGAGGATATTTTTTCCATTGATTTTTCAGAGACTGGAGGGAGAGAGGGAAGGAGAGAGAGAGAGAGAAACATTGATGTAAGTGAGACGCATCGGTTGGTTGCCTCTTGCACACGCCCCTATGGGGGCTGGGGATCGAGCCTGCAACCAAGGTACGTTCCCTTGATCAGAAATCGAACCCATGACCCTTTGATCCTCAGGCCGACATTAGCTGCTGAGCAACACCGGCTAGGGCCACGTAACTGTTTATTATAATGATTTTTTCAACAAATGTAGTGCCTGCATTTCTGGATTCCAAAACGTCTACAACCTAGGTATGTGCCCTGACCAGGAATTGAACCCTCCATCTTTTGGTGTGTGAGACAGTGCTCCAACCAGCTGAACCACACCGGCCAGGTCACAGTCACTATTTGGTTTTAGAGATGAGAGTTAATAGATGAGATAACGCTTCATTCAGAACATTGCAAAGCATAAGAAAATTAGATGAGTAATATTGACTCTTAATCCTGAGTTTCTCAGGAGATTGGAGTGAGCCAAGACAATCAGTGGGCTTTTATGAAGGAAGGAGGTGGAACTGGAGCAGGCCTAGCAGAAGTTCAGGTTGGCACAGAGCCCAAGGACAGGCATGGATTATGGGGAGAGGGGTGGGGCGCAGGAGCAGACTTTGTTCCCAGAGACTGTTGTCCAGTCTCTATTGGGGTTGGTGAGAAATTGGACAAAAAGTTGGAAAGGTCATAAAGAACATCTGAGAGTGATTGTGGATAGCCTTATAAGAGGATTCTAAATTTCTTCCAATCTCTATTTCTATACTGGACATTTTAACTTAAGGTTTTTTTTTAGTCCAGTTGTAACCTACTTATTATATATGAGGTTATTATAATGGTCTCACTAGAAACTTTTTCTAATGGGGAGTGGTGATGAAGATTTTCAGAAATCAGGTGATTTCAGATTTCAGATAGGACTATCATTTTTAAGTAAAATCATTTATTTAGAAAATAACATGTACTCCTCCCATCCCTCTTCCCTGTCCTCTAGGGCATTAAAATCTTGTGGACCAGGTGGCACTGCTCACGTGAAATTAGTGGTAGAATGGGACAAGGAGACAAAAGATTTGTGAGTATTTTTTACTTAGTGTTTATAGAATCATTGTTTTAATTATTTTAAAAGTACAACTTTGACCTTTCAAATTAGCTGAAACCCAAATCTCTCTTCTCGTTAGCTATTTAGTGTCTGATGTGTTGCTAATCCTTTATTATTATTTGTTATTTCTCTCCTATACATTCTGTTGTTTGCTGCTAATGAGACAGAAGCTATATATTTGTATGTATGTATGTATGTACGTGTATGTGTATATATGTGTATGTGTATATACATATAGATATATTCATTGTAGGTCCAATTACTTTGATTTGTATTACAGGCCCATTAACTCTAGTAAGTTATTCAAAATGCATGCCCTTAGTTACAAAGGACAAGAATATATGAATTAGCGCAGCTCGAGGCCAGTCCCAGAAAAACCAACTCCAAGTGATTTCTTCTTGAAAACAACTTTATAGATAGAGAATGTTCCAAGAACACTGTGGAACGTGGAAAATTACTTACGTCCACACTGTAAAGCTGTGATTGTATTTCGTGTCAGTTTTGCAAGGTATTTTCTGATATGTGCTTCGCCCCCCAATGGCAGCTTGTTTGTAAACACTGAAGATGAATACATCCCTGATGCAGAGAGTGTCCGTCTGCAGAGGGAGCGTCATCATCAGCCTCAGACTTGCACTTTATCGCAGTGTTTCCAACTGTACACCAAAGAGGAGCGGGTAAGAATTCCCTGGGCGTTGCGGGGGTGGGGGTTACGGCAAGGTGATAACGGAGAAACAAGTTACGTCCCAGAAAACTCCCAGGTGTTTTGCATTCACATAGGTTCTGCACACATAATGGGTATCTTAGTGTTATTTTTTTAGGATTTTCACAAGAAATTGTTTAAAGTTTTAGAAAAACTTGATTAATTGAAGTGCTCTAGAAATGAACCTTTGTAGTTAATGTTTTTTCTTTTAATGGTTAATAAATTTATTTTTGGTTTCAATTTACAAATTTTATTATTTTTTTAAATATATCTTTATTGATTTCAGAGAGAGGAAAGGAGAGGGAGAGAGAGAGCTAGAAACATCAATGATGAGAGAGTCATTGATCGAGCCCACAACCCGGGCATGTGCCCTGACCGGGAATAGAACCCTGGTTGCCTGGATCCCAGGTCGACACTCAACCGCTGAGCCACGCCCAGCCGTGCTCAATTTACAAATTTTAAATCATTTTCCTTAGTAACTAGAATAGTGATTCTCAACTTTTTGGTACTGAGAACTTAGGCACAACGACCTATTTAAATTAAAATTAATTATAATTAAATAAAATTAAAAGTTCAGTTTCTTAGTTGCATTAGCCACATTTCAGGTGCTGAGTAGGCATGTGGCTCTCTATTGGACAGTGTAGACATAGACAAAGTTCTTTTGGGCAGTGTTCTTTGGACCACTTAGCACTGTGCTTTGCAGATAGTAGGGACTCAGTAAATATTTGCATGAAAGGGTAGACAGATAGACAGACAAACAAGTCTCTGTGGATGGGTCTCAGGCCTGTGTGATTTTTAAACCTCTCCAGGTTTGTGCACCTTGAGAAACCTTGACTAGAACACTTGCATTTCATCTTGAGTTGATGTTTAGGATCAGAATTTTTATTTTGTTTTATTTTTTTTAATTGATTTTAGAGAGGAGAGAAGGAAAGAGAAAGAGAAACATGGATTTGTTGTTCCACTTATTTGTGCATTCATTGGTTGATTCTTGTATGTTTCCTGACCGGGGATCAAACCCACAACCTTGGTATGTCAGGACGATGCTCTTAACCAACTGAGTGACCCAGCCAGGGTCAGATCAGAGTTTTGACTACTGATTGTTACTGTTCACTCTAAGTACATAGGGCAATTTCAGGTGGGAGATGACTTAAAGCTCCTTTCTCTCTGATGGTTGGGTTCTACCAAATTTCAGATAGGTGCTTATTCAGCCAGTTTGTACACCTTTAGTTGTGAGGCGTTTGCCTACGTCGGAGACTCACCATTTCCTCTTTGGATATATCTGATGGTGATAGGTCAGCCTGAAATATGTCCCCAGGTCACTGTGACCCACACGTGTTCTCTCGAGTTCATTAAGAACAGTTGAGGACAAATATTTGTCTAACCTTTAAATACTTGAACTGTTTTCCATTTTCTCACTCTTTTCTCCCCCAAGTTGTTCATAGCTAGTTCCTTTAATAATAGGTTTCATAAGACATTTTTTTCAGTTTACATAAAATAGTTAGTTGGTTCTGCATCCTGTTGATTGCTTGCTCTGTGTAGCACCTTATCCTATTTAGCCTTTTTTTGCTTTAATTGATTTGGGAGATGTGTGAAAATGGCACAAACCTTAGAGGTGAGCAGACCTACTAGACGGCAACACTGGTATTCTACAGGACAGCTCACTGATTTACAAGGATGAGTTCAAGCTAGCAGGATCCATTTTGATAGGGATTCATTAATCCAGTAAATGTTTATTGAGTACATACTGTGTGCTAGGTACTGCACTGGGTCCTGGGGATTTGGCCAGGACCAAGACAGACAGCGTTTCTGTCCTCAAACAAGGAAGTGAAGGAAGTGGAGGCCATGGGTAGGAAGGAACTGGCATGGTTGAGAAGCAGAAACAGAGCCAGTGTAACTGGAGCACAGGGATAGAAGAGAGAGGGAAGAGACTCCCTGCTGGTCTTTGAATAATCTTGAGTATCTACTGTGGAGCCTGGCACTCAGTAAGTATACACTGGAATGAGTGAATAAAAGAGGGTTACTTGGGGGGCTCAGTCATTAGGTCCAAAAATAACAATGTAAATGGAGGAGAGGAGGAGCTGTAACTTGGCCAGCAGGAGTCTGTGTGATGATAACTTTGGGGATTGGTTTTCTGCAAGCTCAGTATTGATCAGCAGTGTCGTGGGGGCGTCAGCCACTGTAGGCCTCCTTAAGATTGCTTTAGAAATTGTCCGGAACTCAGATGGTGATGGCACTGCTCTTTTCATTACCTTAAATGTTCCCTGTTAAGACCCCGGCAAACTGGGCACAACCCAAGAGAGCAGATAGGAATTGCGCATCTGGAAATCATGACATGGCTGAGTGTGTTTTGAAGAAGGAGCCTGAAGGACTCGGCCCCTTCACAGACCATCCTGTGGAACATAAGGTGGACTCAATTTTATCTGAAAAGAGAACTTAAAGATTGGAAATTATTGGAAAAGGATTCCGTCTTAACACAGGGAAGAGCTTTGTAAGGGATTGTCTGGTCGGGGAGCTCCTGGTAACAGTTTACAGGAATCAGACAGGTGCTTTAGAGACTGTAATAGTTATTAGACATTATTGCTACATTTTTAGTGGATTGTACAGAAGTATTGTTTGTAATGTATCGTAAATTAAAACACAGATAAACAGCAGTGTGCTCCTTTACCACGAGCACTGGGCTGGATGGCTATGCATGCAGACTGTCACTGTCACACAGATATGCAGTGACCAGATGACAGTTTAGGTCCCTTCCAGTTTAACGTTCTGATTCACTTTCACCCATCCAAGCTTTTCCTGCAGACATGATTGGGCCTCCCTGTCAAAAAAGATCTCCCTCAGTTCTGCTCCCTTCCCAATGGCCATGCCAGTCTTCCTCCGCCTCCTTCATGCCTAACTTCACATTAGTGGTCCAAGTGCTTTTCTCTCCCCTCCCAAGCCCTCATCATCCATCTGACCACACTCCTCACTCTGCACTTGACGTTCTCAGTTTACACTTGACCTCTCCGCAGGGCTAGTACTGACAGCCCTCCAGCCTCACTGCTCTTTTTTTGGTTTGCGTGAAAGGGAGTGCTTCCAATTTCCCTGGTTTTCTGACTCTGCATCCTCAGGCTCTGCTGGTTTCTGAACTTTTGTCTTTCCCTTAAAAATAGGCATTCCCAGAATCTGTCCTTGGCTTCTTTTTCTTCCATCTCAGGGGCATGGCCTTCTACTCCCATGGCCTCCCTTATCTCACTGTGATTTGGACCCAGATCTGATGCAGCTTCTGATTTCCAGAGCAAGTCTAAAAATCTCTCACCTGTTGGCACCTGTAACCTGGCAGGTCCCCACCCTGAATCACTGGCCTGCAGAGATGACACGTAGATGTAGATGACATTTACAAAGATCGTGTTGATAGCAGAAGGGAAGGGTTGTTTGGAGCAATTTATTGCTGGGGGAGAGATCAGTTAGGAGCTTGAGATGTCCACGTAAGAGAATGAGTGAGGACTTTGAATTCAGGTGGTGGTCAGGGTGTAGGAAGGGACAGGACAAGATATGGCAGGGAGAGAACAACTTCGGTGGACACGGAGGGGGAGGAAGAGAGAAGGGCTTGAGGGTTTGGGATAACCCCCATGGTCTGCCTTTGGTGGGTGTCATGTGTTTGCTAGGACCGGACAGGAGGAGAAGGGACTATGCTGATGGGAAGGTGATGAGTTTGGGAGTATGTGGAGTTCCAGGGCCTCCGGGGTCATATCCTCTAGATAGTCATCGTTCCTTTTTGAGAGATAATCTACCCAGCAAATATTTGGGTGCCACTTTCGATGGTATGTTTCCATTGCGTCCCATCAAGTGTTGTTTCCAGAGGGATTCTGAGTTGCCCGGGCGCTGGCCAAGGAGTGAGTCCAGCACCGGGTGGCAGGAAGCCTCTCTGAGGTGCACTTAACACAGCTGTGCTCCTCGTGTCTAGCTGGCCCCCGACGATGCCTGGCGCTGCCCGCACTGCAAGCAGCTGCAGCAGGGGAGCATCACGCTGAGCCTCTGGACCCTGCCTGATGTGCTCATCGTACACCTGAAGAGGTTTCGACAGGTGAGGACAGAGGCCGTGACCACCTGTGGGCTGGGGGGTTCGCTGGGGCCCCTGCATTATCCCACACTCCCATCCATGTGTTACAACACCCATCTGCCCCTTGGGGGCCACCCTTCTTTCTAAGCAGAGTTAGAGGGTCCTGCGACTCTTTAAATCCTACACATTTTACTTCATACTGTGGAGATTTTACTTTGTTCTTGAGCGTTTGCTTTAGATTTGTAGATATTGTGCTTAAATTTTGATGAGTGTACTTTGGATTTAAAAAAAAAGTAAAGCTTCTTTCTGAGGGCGGGTAGAATTATGTTTCTTTCGAAAGTAATAATGGGAGTTGTCCTGCTCCCAAGAAATGGTTGTACAGTTGGGGATTGAGTCAGAAATGTGTACAAAGAAAATCTGCTTTGAGTATATTGCTCTGTGAGTCAGTTTTTCCCAAAAAGCCTGTCCGTTCCTGAGGTTGGGATGGTCCCAGACAGCCCCATTGTATGAGGGCTAGTGGGAGGTAACCGGTAGAGGGGTCTCTGAAGCCTGGCTTCAGGAGCTTTGTATCTGAGATTGGGATAGGCATTTAGTGGGAGCAGGGCGTGCAAAGCCCTGCGCTGAGGGAGTGTGGCCCATGCAGGAGCCTGGCAGCAGACAATTTGGCTGGAGCGCCAGAGGGTTGGAGAGAAAGGTGTGAGCCGAGGTGGACAACATGGGGAGGGACGGGTCATCCACACAGACCCTTGCGAGCAGAGTGGGAGTCTGATGATAGATTTAAGCTAAGAAGCAACATCACTAAATTTGTGTTTGAAGAGAGCATTCTCACTGCAGTGTGGAGAGTTAGAAGTGACAAGAATGAAGACAGGAGATCTGAAGGGGCCATTGCAGTTATCAGGGTCGGGGAGGGATACTGATGGCTGGGACTGCAGGTGTGTGAAGTAGAGGAGATGGGGAGACCTGAGGGGGTTTAAGAGATGCTTAGGGCTTGCTGATGATGTGGACACGCACATGGCTCCAGGGCTGGGGCTTTCACACACAGGTTTGGGGGACAGCTGTGTGTCCCAGCTGCACACTCCCATTGGGATCTGCAGGTAGGTAGCTGGTTGAGTGTTGGGATCCCCACATGTATCCTTGCACACACACAGACCACTTTATTTCGCTTTCTGTTTCTTTTGAAGGCACATCATCACACTAAAAACTCTGGGGCCACCTTTGACTCGTCTTTCCTGTCCCTCTCATGTAGGGTCCAGTCTCCTCTTCCGCGTGGTTACGCCTCTCCGTTGCCTCCTGCATGTGTCCCCTTCTCCCCATTCTTGTGTCCTGACCGGGAGTCTAGCCAGCAGCCTTTTGGTGCACAGGATGATGCCCAACCAACTGAGCCACACCGGCCAGGGCTCCCCGTTCTTGCTGTCACCCTGCTAGTTCAGACTTTTGGTACTTTCCAGCTGGTTGCAATTGCAGTGTCTATTTATTTAGTTTTTTAATATGTTCTTACTGATTTCAGAGAGAAGATGGGAGAGGGAGAGAGAGAGAAACATCAATGGGACAGAAACATCAATCTGCTGCCTCCTGCACACCTCCTACTGGAGATCGAGGCCACAACCTGGACATGTGCCCTGACCGGGAATCGACCTCCTGGTGCACAGGACGGTGCTCCACCACACCGGCTGGGCTGCAGTGTCTTTTAACTGATTTCTTCACCTGGATGACTTTTTCTACCATGTTTTACGCACTACTTACACAGTTCTTCACTCACAACTCTGATGACATCACCTTCTCAAAGCCTCAGTACTTATCCCTTGACTAAGAACAAAGTCCAGATTCTTTAGCCTGACCTTCCTGACCACCCAGGACCCATCCTGCCTTTGTCTTAGGAAAAAATTTCTTCCCTTAATAGATCCATATCTCCTTGGGGTAGCCATTATCCATGCCCGATTAATTTTTTAAAGCTCTCACAGACACAGGAAACATTCAGTAAATATTCAGCTGATGGTTAGATTTCACAGGATTTCCCTGTGGACATGTGGGAAAGACAGACTACCCAGGGTTGTCAACTAAACAAATGTATTAAACTAAATCAGTGTTAACTTTTCATGCCACTGCCAGAGGGCTGGGTAAGAAGGGGTGCTGCTCATTGAGTGGCTGGCTGTGCCAGGCACCGTGCTCTGCCTCTCTCATAGATTATTGCTGCATGTGACAGAGATCAGGACATATCACCCAAAATTGTCAGTTTGTGAGTCTGACAAATCCTTTGTCAGATAAGAAATGGAGACTCAGGGAGGCTCATTACCCCTCATTTGTAGGTTATTGCTGGTTCCACTCTTAGTGATCTTAAAGCCTGTTCTTCCAAACAGTTCAAACTGTTAGTCTGTTTTCCCTATTTTGTGTGTGTCTTGGGGAGCATCAGACAGCTAACTCAAACCACTTCAGCTGCTAGAGCCCACATTCCACGCTGAACCCATTCACCACCTGTTTGCATGAAAATATCATCAGGACTTGTATTTCTTCTTGTGACAGGAAGGAGACAGGCGTATGAAACTTCAGAACATGGTCAAGTTCCCCTTGACTGGCCTGGACATGACGCCTCATGTGGTTAAGAGAAGCCAGAGCAGCTGGAGTTTGCCATCCCATTGGTCTCCATGGCGACGACCTTATGGACTCGGGAGGGACCCTGAGGACTACATCTATGACCTGTATGCTGTGTGCAATCATCATGGCACCATGCAAGGGGGGCACTACACAGGTCTGCAGCGTGAGAGGCCGGGTGTCTGTGTGGACGATTCCTTCAGGCGTGCTTGCTCGTGACAGGGTCGCTTTGCCTTAGATCCTCACCCTCCCTTCCAGTGGCCAGTGTGCCAACCGTAAGGGCAGTTTTCCTCCTCTGGATCTTCGTCCAAGAGCAAACAAGCGAAAATTCTCCTCCATGTCCTGAGCGTGCCCATCGGTGGTGTCTGCTGCCTGGGGAGTGGTGTGTGCAGCTGGACAGCATGGTCCGCTTCCCGAGCACGCACTGAGCTCACCTTGTCTGCAGTGTTCCGCTCCACTTCCTTGAGCTTCCAGCTCCTCCCTGGTTTGGAGTGACTGTGAGGCACTTTTATAGTGTCTTTAAAGAGACTTGAAAAGGTTTTCTTTTTGTATCAAGGCGACATTTATTTTTTCATCTTTAAAGCAACTATGTTCATCATGATATTTAGAGACTAGAGAGGGAGGAAAGAACAGTACCATCATCCATGGGCTTATCACTCAATAACCACTGGTAACAATTTTAAAAATTGTGATAAAGTACACATAACAACATTTATCACTTTAACCATTCTTTTTTAAAAACTACATATTTTTATTGACTTCAGAGAAGAAGGGAGAGGAGAGAAAGACAGAAACATCAATGATGAGAGTCATTGATCAGCTGCCTCCTCTATGCCCCCCCACCGGGGATCGAGCCCACAACCCTGGCATGTGCCCTGACCGGGAATTGAACTGTGACCTCCTGGTTCATAGGTTGATGCTCAACCACTGAGCCACCCCAGCCAGGCTAGAGGAGCTTTGGTATTTTCTACATCCTTTCGCCTTTCCCATGCTGAGGCCATACCACTGCTTGTCTGATGTGTAAAATGATTAAAGTCTTAGGTTAGAGAACACTTTAAGTACCTGAGCATTGTTGGATTAAGGCCACCTTGTGTGTGAGTTTCATTTGGAATGGTTCCTGCGATGTCTTTATTTGGCCTGGATCTAGTTATAACTATGTGGTGCATGTGTGGCTAACTGGTGTAAGGATTCTGAAACAGTGCTTCTCAACGTATCTGTGATGAAGAACCTAGTTTTTTCTTTTTAAAAATTTTCAGTCCTTCATGAACCAATACTTGTGCAAAAATACAATTAAAATATCCATGGCAATATCAGGTTGCTGTAAAAGTTTTCAATTGCTTTTCTCAGTTTTGGTGTTTATCTTGTGGATTGGCACCAGTCTGCAAACCATACCTTGAGTAGCACTGGTCTAGAAAACCCTTCACCAATAGTGCTAGGAAAAAAAGCAAATACAGTTATTTTGTAAGTGCACCGTTTACCCATCAGTGAGTTACTGTGCTCCTTAGTTTTCACGCTGTGGCTGGGGACAGACTGTCTGAAGAAGCAGATTGAAGCTAGTGCAGGGTCTCTGTCACCTTCTCTTGGGCTGTTCCCTGTCAGATCCCACTCCCACTCCAGAAGAGCAGCCACACACCAGACCACTGCCATTTCCCTGGTCCTATTCACTGCTTATAGCTCTGTTTCTCTCCCCTCTGGCTCCAGAGTCCAGGCTGTGCATGACTTGTCTCCCTGCGAGCACAGATTCTCACTCTGCTCTTCTTTCTCCGGACCTGTCTGCTGTAGCCCTTCCTTGCCTGGGCGCCCTTCAGCTCTTAGGGTTCCATGCTTGAAAAGTGGTTGTGGCCTATGGAGGAAGTCACTCCTGGTGCCTCCTGCCAGGACCTGTATGCCTTGCCCTGGGGGCCATGCTGAGTCTGTCCCAGTGGCCAGCTGAATATTCTAGCCCTCCTTTATCCCACCCCAACAAATAGGTATTTTTAGAAAGTGTGGTAAGAATGTACTTCTATGGATCAAGCTTATCATGCCCCTTGATATATCCTTTCAGGATGATGTTAACACTAAGGTGTCCATTCTTGCTGGTGCTCAAAACCTCTGTGTTTCTACCTCAGGCTTAGAATTAGAACTGGAGAGAAGGCCACGTATATTCATAAGCTCAAATGTTCTCTGTTTGCAAAGGGACTTTGTGGGGCATTGCTTGTGCTACCCCTGAGGGAAGCAGGGTCAGGTAGGGGGCTAGATAATTCTGAAATGAGCTTCACCAGCAGCAGGAATTTGGGCGAGCCTGTTCATCTTTCTGAGCCTCTGTAAAATGGAAATCGTCATCGAGCAGATCTCATAGGATTAAGTGCATGTTTGGCACATAGTAAGTGCTAAACAAGTGTTAGCTGATGCTATTATTAATACCATTACTTCTAGTTCTATTATTTTCTGTCTCTAATAAACACCAAGCACAATGTAACCCACATGCTTATATCAGGGTTTCTCAGCCCGGGCAAAGTTGACAGTTTGGCCACATAATTCTGTGCTGTGAGAGTCCGTCCTATACACTGTAGGATGTTTAGCAGCGTCCTTGGCCTCTACCCACTAGATGCCAGTAACACCTTTACCCCCGGGTTGTGGACAATCAAGATGTCTTCAGATTTTTCAAATGTCCCATGGGGTAGAATTGTCCCCAGTTGGTTTAAAGAAATAAGCATATTGTGCTTCCTAAGATTGAAAAGAACTGTATCTGAAATTCCATGAGACATTTTGCCTGAGTGTGATACGGAATTTGGGTTTTCCACCTTTCTCTGTTACTCAGGCAGCCTTAAAAGGTCTTGAGTTAATTATATGAGCCAAAGAAGCGGTCTGTGTGGGTAGGGTGCAGCCTGCGGGGTGCTGACGTGACTCTCTCCGGCAGCGTTCTGTAAGAACTCCGTGGACGGCCTCTGGTACCGCTTTGACGACAGCGACGTGCAGCAGCTGCCGGAGGGCGAGGTCTGCACACGCGCGGCCTACATCCTGTTCTACCAGAGGCGGGCGGCGATACCCTCCGGGTCGGCCAACAGCTCTGTGGCAGGTAAGCCAGCCCTGCTCTTGGGCAGTTTTTCCAGAACAGAAGATTGTCGTTAATGGTTCAGAGGATTCTCCAGAAGGTCTCATGCCTCTGTCAGTTCAATCACATTAATCCTCACATTTGCATTTAACCTTGAAACCAAAATGATTGCAGTTCACAGGGAGGTGGACCAGTGCCCGGGTCACTCGTGGGATAAGCGAACTAAAAAGCAGCACGGCACGTACTCTGAAAGTAGAGGGAATGAGGGTTTGGAAATAGAACCTAGACTTGGCTTCGCCACATTTTGGTTGGGTTACTTTGGGGCACGTTCCCTCCAAGGCACATGTTTATCATCTGTAATCCTGGTGTAGTAACACCGCCTGCCTCCTGGCGTCACTATGCATCAGGTGAGGCAAATGTGCCTTAAAGCCTTTCATAAAGGGTAAAGCACAGTGAGGAATAGCCCCCTCCCCCAGTAAGATTGGCTTGTTCTATTAGGGGAAGAATTGAAGGCTATGATAATAATATTAGGTGGCTTAGGTTTAGCTTGATGGGGTCTAGTCTGTTGTTTTAATAAATGTAGGAATCAATGCCCACACTCGATGTGGGCGCAGCCACACGGAATCTGAACAAGGGGCACGTGCGTCTTAGTGCGTGGTGTGAATTTAAAAGAGTAAGACAGGACTGGAATGTGGGAATGTGGTCAAGTTAGGGCGTATCGACCCCTGCTCCCCCTGAGGCTTTCAAGAGCTAAGTTAGAAGCTGCTAAAAGGAGGCCTCTCGAGCAGTGGCCCTGCTGGAGTCAGGACGCCCCCCCCCGGGTACCCATCTGTCTGCTGCTCACTTCGTTAACAAAAGTGGGAGCCCAGTGCTCCAGGGCTTGTCCTCAGTGCTTCCCAGTCTGGGATATGCTTAGAAAGCACACCCTTGAGGGCTGCTTGAGACCAGGATGCTGCTGCCTGTTCTCAGTTTCAGGAGCAGTTGCTGTTGCTCTAATGTGCATCTAAGGGCATCCCTGGACAGACGGGACAGATTGACATAAAGCTTTGTGTTTGTATATAAATATTGTGAAAATGGTTTTAAAGTTCAACAATCAGGCTGAGAATATAATGGCGCTGCTGCTCTTTTCTTTCTGTTAGAAGTATTAGGCAGGCACTTAGAACACTGCCCGGTGTGGAGTGTGAGTAAGTATTTGTGGAAAGAACGAGTCTGAGCAATTGTCTATACTTGGCTCTGTTGCCTGCCCTTAGCACTTGGATTTCGAATTCTACAGTATCCATCCCTGTCCTTGCATTGTTACTACCGGCATGTGCGGGAGTCTGCTCTCCTTCCTTTTGCCTTTGGAGGGTCTTAGGAGGGCCATTGGGGCAGGCACACTGTGGGGTCTGGGAGTTTGTGTTGCTCTGCAGTGAAGACATGCAGGCCGAGCTGCAGGCTGCCTCCTGTTGAAGGCAGCAGCACCTTCATGAGGGTGTGTGCTGTGCAGGCCGGCCCAGGGTCCCGGGCTGACCTTTGTGCCCCTCCCTCTCTGCAGGCTCCACGAGTTCCTCCCTGTGTGAGCACTGGGTGAGCCGGCTCCCAGGGAGCAAGCCAGCCAGCGCAACCTCGGCAGCTTCCTCCCGACGCACCTCCCTGGCCTCGCTGTCTGAGTCCGTGGAGATGACCGGGGAAAGGAGTGAGGATGATGGTGAGTGTGTGTTTTGGTGACAAACTTTCAAGAGGCAACTCACAGCACAGGCCCCTCATGTTTAGGAACCAAACCCTGGGAAGGCTGTGGTGGCGCTGCCTCATGTGCCCATCACCAGTCACACCTGCAGTGAACAGGGCGTTTGCTTTTCCTCTTTGACCTAGAGCTCCTTTCCTCTCTCATCATTTTTGACTTTGAAGGTCTGGAGTGGAGGCTGCAGCCTGAACTCTGTACAATAATGAATACATTTTTTTCAAAGTGTTTTTAAAAATCTAAGCCGCTGTGAGAGAACTCAGTGCCGTTGTGATCTGCCCAGGGCTGCCTGGTGTAGAGTCGCCATGCAGGGCCTGGCAGGGACCTCCCGGCCTGCTCAGCTGTCACCTTCCTGCCACACTGTTGCCTTGAGAGAAGTCTGTGGCATGCTTTTTTCTGGTGCAGAAGCGCCTGGAACAAAGACTGTTGCCTCTGCATAGAGGTAGTTTTTGGGAATTCTGAAAATAAGTACAATATAAAAACTTTGGAAATCTTATAATAGTTGAACTTTGTTTTATTTTACCTTCACTTACTGCTTGAGTTGCGGCAGCATGGCCCTTAGTTCCAGCAGGGACCCAGGTGGGGTGGGAGCCATCAGGCAGCCAGTACTCCGAGAGCTAGAAGAGGAGAGAGTGAGCTCAGCTTCTGTAATGAGGTCGGTGACTCACCTTCCACAAGCCTCATTCTGCGGCCAGTATTTCGATAGCTGTGGTCCTCTCCTGGTGGAGATGGGTGATTCTGAGAATGTGAAATAGAGGGGAGGGCCGGGGGTGGGGAGAAGCATGCCAGACGGAGCTGTGCCACACAGCATCGGCTTTGCCAGCTCTGGCTTGTGGCTTCTCTTGGTAAAATAAGAGTATTGGGCTCTGATTGCTAAGCTGCTTTCTAGCTCCTGGCACTATATGAAAAACCGACCAGTGAGTCTTGGTTTGTTTAGGCAGAGGTTATTTCCAGTGCAGCCTTTAAGCATAGAATTCACTCTCATTTCAGCAGTAAGCCTAGATTGGTCTGCCCGACCTAATTTTAACCAATGTGGTTAGAGAATTGTACCCTCTTCTTCTTCTTTTTTTTTTTTTTTTTT